TCTGTTTGTAAGAGCTGTATTTTAATGAAGGGGCCCTGGTGGCACAGTGGACAAAGAACTGAACCCACTCAGTTGCTCCTTGGGAGCGGTCTCCTCCTTAAAGATTTTAGTCCACAGTCACCGTAAGTCAGCATGAACGTGAAGCCATGGGCTTTCGTTTTAAGTCTATCTTAAGGAGCCCTGGTGGCCCTTGCTTTCAGCTTCCGTACAGGTTACAGGCTTGGGGACCTTGTGGGTAGGTCCACTCTGTCCTGCAGAGGTCACTGAGTTAGAATTGAGCCCACAGTAGTGATTTGGTTAGAATTTTTTACTTAATGACTGTAGCACTGTTTGCAACTATATTTCTTAAAGAGTGTTTGGATTTTAATAGACTAATAAGGTGTGTCTGATACAGGCTATGGTCTTCGCAATCACTTGTTATGCATCAGAGAGTTGGACAATGACTAGGGAGGATAGAAGGAGAATTGATGCCTTTGAGCTGTGGTGCTGGAGAAGAGTATTGAGAATACCATGGACTGCTAGGAAAACAAACAGATTTGTCCTGGAAAGGGTTAAACCGGGTGGCTCCTTGGAGGCAAAGATTCTGAGGCTCCGTCTAACATACTTCGGACATGTAGTGAGGAGAGACCGGTCCTTAGAGAGGGACATCATGCTTGGGAAGGTGGAGGGACAGCGCAGGAGAGGAAAGCCCTCTATGAGGTGGATTGATTCAGTGACTGGGATAATTGGGATGGGAGTGTCAGAGACAGTGCGATTGGCACAGGACAGAGCGGGGTTTAGGGCTGTTGTACATAGGGTCGCTATGAGTCGCAGGTGACTCGACGGCACATAACAACAACAACAACATTATATAATCTATAAAATATATCTTTTAATCCAAACATGTCAGAAAAATATAAAAAGTAAAAGCCACACTCCCCAGCAACTTGTTTCACGGAGGAACTGCTGTTTCATATATACCTTTTCAGGGTTTTTAAATGTAATTGTACTTGTATCCTATGAACATCACACTTTGTGTCTCTTCTGGTTATCCTTTTGTGCTCTAGTCAAGTCACTATCAGATTTCACAGTATTACAAATTGGCATTGTGCAGACTTTACACCCTGGTGGCCTCTCTGTAGCGCAGATTCCTAGAAGGTTGGAGGTTAAGGTATTTTGATTGGTATAGACACAGACATGCCTGCCTGACATTCACTCTGGGTGTGGGGTGTCCCAATACTGGCATTCTTGCAAATTGGTTTAGTTCCTGATTATTGGTGAAGTTGGACTCTCTTCATGTGTATTTTAGCCATTTGTATTTCCTTTGTGACTTGCAAGTTCATATTCTTTGCCTATTTTGTTAGTTTTTACTTAAGGATTTGTGTGATAGAAGCTCCTGATAGCTTTGGAAAAGAAATACTTTTCTGTTAATTCATTCAGTTCCATTGAGTTGGAATTGACGGGTTTCTGAGGTTGTAAGTCACATGGAAGGAGATAGTCCATCTTTCTCCCAAGGAGTCACAGGTGGATTTGAACTATCAGAGAGGCTTGACCTCTGAGGTAACAGCACAGCTCTATGAACATTACCCCCATTGTGCTACACTGTGCATTTCAACAATGTGTGTTTAAATACTTTCCCTAAGTTGTTGTTAGACTCTCATTATTTTTTCTTGATATGATTTAGTTAATTATTTTGTTTAAGATGTTACTTTTTTGATGATTAAATATTTGCCCTTAAGGCTTTCAGGCTTTATGCCATGTTTTTGTTTTTTTGTTGTTTTTTTTGTAATCCTATGCCATGTTTTAAAAGGCCTTTCTGCTCCACTGTTATTTTAAAAGTAAGGTTTTTTTAATTCCTTTGGACTTGTAAAATGCTTGATCCATCCGGAATTTATTTTGGTGTAGAGTGAAGTTTAAATGCAACTTCATTTCTGCCTCCTCCCTAATTCATACCCATTCTAATACTATCCACTGAACAATTAGTCTTTCCATTTAATTGGAAAAATCATATTTTTTTAAAATTTTTTTTTACTTTATTATTTTTGTGTGCGTGTACCGTCAAATCAGATCTGACTGGTACAGGAGGAGATTGTCCCTCCTTCCCCGGCAGAGCATCTGGTGGATTTGAACCATGCACCTCTGGGATTGTAGTTGCACCTTCTTGTAGGCCACCAGAGCTCCCCTGGAAAAATCATATATTCTTTCAGCCTGTTTTGGAAACTAAGCTGGCTAAGATGTTCATTAGATTTTTATTTAAATATAGAAGATCTATAGATCTCTACCTCCAAGCTTTCTTCATTTGATACTTTTCCTTAGCCCCTTACTCACCCTCAAACAAAATATATTCCTTTTGGACAGTTCTTCCCTTCATCTATTGTAATGCAGTGCTCATTTATCTAGCCACTCATTTTCCATTCTCTTCCTAACTCCTCCCATGTCTGTCCTATTTTATAACAGCAGTGCTATGCAATATTTTTTTCTTTTGTAAATATCTCTCCTTGGTGAGATATTTCACCAGTAGTCTTCCAGGCTCCCCCATTTTGTGTAATGTTTTAGGAGTTCATTATTTTTCAGTGCTGCATAATATTCCATTGTGTGGACTATTTGTGCCATAGTTTTTGTAACAGTTCATTTGTTGATGCTCATTTGAGTTGCTTCCATCTCTTTATTATTGTGAATAACGCAGCAGTAGACATGGATATGCATACATCTGTTTGAGTCATGGCTGTGGTTTCTTGAGGGTATATTCCCAGTAGTGGAATTGCTGGGTCAAATGGTATTTATATTTCCACCTTTTTGAGGAGGGGCCAGACTGATTTCCGTTGTGGCTGAACTACTTTACATTCCCAACATCAGTGAATAAAAGTTCCAATCTCTCCACAACTTCACCAGCATTTGTTGTTTGCTACCCTGTCATACTTTGCTACTGTGACTGGGGAATTTTTGTTTTCTTGATATTGAGGTGTAATCCATATTAAAGGCTGTAGTCTTTGATCTTATGTAGGGAGCATTTTAACTCCTCCTCACTTTCAGCAATCAAGGTTGTGTGATCTACATAATACTGGTTATTGATGAGTCTTCCTCCAATCCTGATGCCACATCCTTCTTCATAAAGTCCAGCTTCTCAAATGATTGGTTCAGCATACAGATTGAATAGGTATGGAGAAAGGATATAGCGTTGACACACACCTTTCTTCATTTTAAACCATGCAGTGTTACCTTGCTCTGTTTGCACAAAAGCTTCTTGGTATAGGTTCTGTATGAATATAATTAAGTGTTCAGGTATTCTCCGTTTTCTCAGTGTTAACCATAGTTTGTTATGATCCACGTAGTCAAATACCTTTTCATAGTCAATAAAACACAAATAGACATTCTTCTGGTATTAATCTGCTTTCAGTCAGGATTCATCTGACATCAGCAATGATATCCGTGGTACCTTGGCCTTTCCTAAACTCAGCTTGAACTTCTGGTAGTTCTCTGTCAAAGTACTATAGCTATTTTTAGATGAACGTCAGCAATATTTTGCTTGCATGTAATATTGATGATAGTGTTCAGTAATTTCCACATTCTGTTGGGTCACCTTTCTTTGAGAATAGGAATAAATTTGGTTCTCTTCCAGTCAGTTGGCTGGGTAGCTGTCTTCCCAATTTTTTGGCCCAGACACGTTAGCTTGTCCAAATCTAAATTCTTGATATTTCTGCAGAACTTTCCTACCCAGTGTCCTCTTTTCACTAGTCTGGAGGTCCTGTTCCATTGCTTGGTCTCATCCAGACTCTGGGACATTTTTGATGTTCCTTTATTTCTTTACTACATACCCAGTCTAGCAAATCAATTGACGCCAGAATCCAGGCTCTTCTCATGTCTCTGCTGCCAATACCCTGCCAAGCCTCAAGTATTGCTGTAGGTCTATCAGAGTGGTCCTTCTGCAGAGTAGGTCAGCTCATGCTTATCTTGGTTCCAGTCACAGTAGCCTCATGACTCAGTGGTACAGTGTCTCCAGTGTGTCTCTGGGTCCTGCTTGGTTTGGCTACCACTACCTCTTGTTCTCCATTAATTTTATATCAGGAGATTTTGTTGTATGTGGACTTCTTGTTAAAGCATAAGGAAGTCTGAATCTTCATCAAGGGACATGTTCTACTACTAGCTCCCAGGTTAACTCACAGACATCTCCAAAAAAAAAAAAAAGAAGTTTTGTATGCAGACTGGCAAGAGACTAGCATGCCCTAAGCTCAGGTAAATGGTTAGATCAGTTGAATGGATGAGAGTCTTATATGAGGTCAACAGTTGACTATGCGATATTTGCATGTGTAGCATGACCATGCAGTGGGCACAAGGTCTCAAAGCCCAGGATGTATGGCATACATGGGCAGGGACAGCCTTTCATCCAGGACCCTGAGGTGAGACATCCATTCTTGTTAAGACACTAAAAAGCACAACAAGGTTAACCCCCTCTAATTTCTGAGATGAAACTGAAAATACCTTGCAGGGACAGAACAGTCAATGGCTTCTAATGAGTGACAAAGGCAAGTGACCTATGACCTTTGCCCAGCCTCACTGTGGATGACCTCCCTGAGGCCTCTAGAGCTGAGAGCAGAACCTTGAGTCCTAGACTTTCAGGGTGCAGCAAGTTTACAGGTGTCAGGATGTCAGCCCTGAGACTTTGTCACTTGTTGAGAATGTCCTTCTTGGGTACATAACTTGGGAACCTGGCATTGAGCTAGGCCAGGAGCCCTAAGTTTGTTCAGAGGCCGACGTGGCTTGACATGGTTCCCAGACTTTAGTATCTGAGTCCACAGGGGTAAAGGAATCCTACAAGGACAGAATGGGGTTGCATTGGTGGTGGGAAGCCCTCTCTTGAATGCGCCTCACTGACGTTTTACTATCAAGGACCAGTGACCTCTTGAAGCTACCAAGGAAATTGCTGTATGTCTGAGATAAGGCTGAAACCATTATGTGCTCCCTTATCTCTCACAGACCAATGTGGATTTCTCTCCATCCTCAGTGGCCCCAGGAGACAGGTTATGGCAAGAACTGGGCTCCTGCCAGTGGCAAGACCTCAGGTGAGCATTCCTCAGGGTTCCTTTATCTCATCAAAGTCGTCATGGCCTTCCCATCACTACCTCTTTGGCTCTCTGTAGATGACTTCACAATGGCTCACAGCCCTCCTCATCCAACTGCACTTGCTACCCTTGACAGAGACTCGGTCCTACTCCAGCACTGCCCCTGTCATTCCAGGCTGCTGTGACCTTTGAGGATGTGGCTGTGCTTCTCTCTCAGGAGGAATGGGACAGCCTGGGCCCTGCTCAGCGCGGCCTCTACTGCAATGTGATGATGGAGACTTATGGGAATGTGGTCTCTCTGGGTAAGCCTCCCAAAGGCAACATGAGCCAGGCTCCCCATCACACAGGCCTTGTCACAGTGTGCAAGGCCAGCAAGGGAGGGTGGAACTTAAGAAGACTAGTCATGCTCACCTTGGACAATAACCCTCACTTCCCTGTGCCTGCACTGTGTCTTCCCCACAGTGCTCAACCCTGTGCGAGGTTTTTCCTGCTTTTTATCATGCCATTCATTTATCATGCCATATCATTCCAGAGATGGAACTGGAGGTGGGGGCAGGGAAGGAGGTAACTTTGTAAACAGAAGGATGTCCCTCCCATGAGCAGGACTCCCAGGAACCAAGCCTGACGTGATCTCCCAGCTAGAACGAGGGGAAGAACCCTGGGTTCTGAATTGGCAGGAGACTGAGGGGAGAGAGCACCATAGGAATGGCCACTCAGGTGAGTGAGTGAGGGGGAGTTGGACCCCGTAACAGCGGGCTGAGCAGTCTTGACACAAACATGGGCAGAGATCAGAGAGAATGGATAACTTGCTGAAGATCTGTATTTATGTGAAATACTGGGAGTGGCTTCTGCAGGATGCAAGACCGTATCAGGCCTCACCTGACAAAGGAGGGTGGAAGATGGGCAGGAAAGGAAATAGCAAATTGCTAAATCTGGAAAGAAGGTTAAAATTAGGTACACAAAAATAGAAACAGGTGTGGAGCGCAGGACACAGTTGTGATCACGGCACAAAATCAGACCCCAGAACATAGCATCAGGTCTCCCTGCCCAGAAGGAAAGAATGGCCAGCCAGGTCTCTGTCCTCAGGAAACATTCAGATTTTAGGGGCTACACGTAAAAGAGGAAGTGGCTTAACTGAACTGTCAGTTCACTTAAGTGAACTGGTCAGAAGTATGCATTTAAGACCAAGTAAAAACAGTAAGGCACTCCATATTTGTTCAACACTGTGCTTGGCACCTCACATAAGAAATTAGACCAAAAACCCCTAAACCAGAAACCTAAAACTATAAGGGTTTGAAACGAAAAAAGTTGTTTATTATGTTTTTTAATCCATCTGTGTGGTTATATACTTGGAAAAGTCAAATCCCCAGAGGCATTTTAGAATTTATAAAAGTTTAGTTATCAACATTGACACAAAAATCAATTCTGTATCTGTTCATGAAAGAACAGAGATGTGTGATTCCCCCCACCCTTTATGACAGCACTGATAATACCATCAGAAATATACAGGAATTAAGTTTATTTAATAAAAGCAAGCAAGACCTCTGTAGAGAAAATATAAAGGAAAAAATAGCTAAACAAAACCCAAAACTAAACCCACTGCTGTCAAGTTTATTCCTACTTTTTTTTAAAAAAAAATTTTTTTTTTATTCTTTTTATGTGTGTACCATCAAATTGGATCTGACTGGTACAGGAGGCAATTGTTCCTCATTCTTCAGCAGAGCATCTGGTGATATTCCTACTTTTCACAACCCTATGGGGCCAACAGCCACTCTACAGAAGGGAGGGCAAATCTTCTACCCCGTGATTTATTTATTTTTTTTTTTTTTTTTTTTTTTTTTTTTTTTTTTTTTATTTCTGTGTGCGTGTACCGTCAAATCAGATCTGACTGGTACAGGAGGATATTGCGCCTCCTTCTCCGGCAGAGCGTCTGGTGGATTCGAACCGTGTTCCTCTGGGATTGCAGTGCAGCTTCTTGCCACTAGGCCACCAGAGCTCCCTACCCCGTGATTTATTGCCTCTGAAAACACACTGGAGGGTCAGCTGTGAGTCAGTTCCAACCCAACGGTACAGAACAGAAGAGTCCCGCCCCTCAGAGTCTCCCAGGCTATACAGTTTTATAGAATCAGGCTGTATTCTCTTTCTCCGGGATAGGAAGATTTGAACCAATCAGGTTAGCAATTTGATCTATTGTGCTGCTTTAAAATGATGCCAGCTACAGTAAATCAGCCTTGAAAGCAGTAAACATCTATCTGCAAGAAGGTCACAGGCAAGTCTCACAATGCAATTTCTGTCAGCCTGCTCTATCAGGACATGGACATTTCCCTCCAAATCCACCCCACCCCAGGGCAGATGGAGATATTCTGGCAATGCCTTGGTCAGCTTCAGCTTCTATATAGCAATTTTCCACTTGAAAACAACTACTTATGTCTTAGAAACTCTATACAGGGGTACTTGTTATTATGGATACTCAAAAAAGCTTGAACTCATTTCCCTTGAGTTGGGACTGACTCATAGCTGACCCTCCAGTGGGTTTTTTAGAAGTTGTAAATCAAGAGCGAGGAGACTGCCTATCTTTCTCGTGGGCAGCCACTGGTGAATTTGAACTGAGAGAAAGGCACCACCATTGGGTTAGCAGTGCAACTCCCTGTGGATTCCACCACCAGTGCTCCCTGTTCTTAACAGATAGTCTGCCATTTAATGGCTACAAAATAAGGTATCAGAAGAACAATGACTGCTAGTATCAGGGGGATTTAATTTTTCAAAGAAGACGTGACATTACATTGTGGAAATCTTAAAAAGACTGCTTTCTGCTGTGCACCAATTTTGTAATCATGGTGGATTAGAAAACACAAGGCACATTTACAGTCACCACTGAACCAGACCCCAGGCTCCACGTTTATTTCAATCTGCTGCAGAGGTTGGGCTGAATGGCTCTGTGAGTGTAATGAACTGGAAATTGAGAGGCAGTTTTCACATGGAAGCAGATGGTATCTGCATAGACCATGGAGGAGGAAGGAATCAAATATGTGTTTTAGACTTAACAATGAACATAAAGACAGAGACCAGCTGCTGGAGCTTGTGACAGAACCCCAAGTGTCACTCTGAGCAAGCACAGAAAGGGATGTGCAGCATGTGACTTCATTTTAAAGCCAGTTCCTGGTCAGCATGGATAAGTGGATCCCACTTTTGAATGCAATGCATTGCATTCATATATTTTATAACATATAATATAGCTTTTTAGCTGGGCCAATATATGCTGAGATGTACCCAGCAAGCCTCATACCTGGAATTGCTCAGCTCTCCCGCTCCACTGAGAAGGAACTGGGAGGATTTCAGAACCATCTCAGGAACAGGTTTGAGGCCTTGAACACTAATGAGCGAAGACCTGATGAGTTGTGGGAGGATGTCAAATGTATCATCCAGGAAGAGTGCAGGCGGTCATTACAAAGACAGAAGAGGAAGAAAAGACCAAAATGGATGTCAGAAGAAACTCTGAATATATTGCATTGGAGCACAGAGAAGCCAAAACACAAGGAAGAATTCAAGATACTAAAGACCTGAACAGAAAATTCCAAAGGGCAGCACGGGATGACAAAGCAAAATATTATAATGAAATGTGCAAGGAGCTGGAGTTGGAAAAGCAAAAGGGCTGAACTCGCTCGGCATTTCTTAATTTCAAGGAACTGAAGAACAAATTCAAACCTTGAGTCGCTATAATCAAGGATGCTTGAGGCAGAATATACTGACTCACTGTATCAAAAGGAATTGGCAGACCCAAAATCTCTGTATATGTTTACTAATAGGGGGAAAAAAAACAAAAAAAAAAGGAATTGGCGGACACAGAAGAATTTAATGAAATAACATGAGCAAGAGCTTACGGTGATGAAGGAAGAAGGTCAAGCTGCTTTGAAGGAAATAGTGAAATATTAAGGCCCCAGGAATAGATGGTATACCAACTGATGTATTTCAGCTAACAGATGCTGCCCTGGAGGTGCTCACCAAGTTGTGTAAGAAATATGGAGAACAACCACTTGGCCAACTGATTGGAAGAGAGCTAGCGATATTTGTTCCCATTCCACAGAAGGGTGACCCAACAGAGTGGAAACTATAGAACAATATCATTGATTTCACACGCAAGCAAGAGTCTGTTGTTGTTGTTATGTGCCGTTGATTCACTTGCGACTCATAGCGACCCTGTGTACAACATCCCTAAACCCTGCTCTATCCTGTGCCAATCTCACTGCCTCTGACACACCCATCCCGATTACCCCGGTCACTGAATCAATCCACCTCATAGGGGGCCTTCCCCTTCTGCGCCATCCCTCCACCCTACCAAGCATGATGTCCCTCTCCAAGGACCTGCCCCGCCTTGCAACATACCCAAACTATGTTAGACAGAACCTTAGAATCCTTGTCTTCAAGGAGCAGCCTGGTTTGACCCTTTCCAGGATGAATCTGTTTGTTTTCCTAGTAGTCCATGTTACCCTCTATACTCTTCTCCAGCACCACAGCTCAAAGGTATCAATTCTCCTTCTATCCTTGTTTGTCATTGTCCAACTCTCTGATGCATAACAAGTGATAGCAAAGACCATGGCCTGTATCAGAAGCACCTTAGTCTCCAAAGATACACCATTGCTCTTCAGTACTTTGGAGAGATCCCTAACAGCAGATTTTCCCATGGCAATACATCTTCTAATTTTCTGGCTACTGGTGCCGAGAGTGTTGAGTGTGGAGCCAAGCAAACTGAAGCTGTGAACAATCTCAGTCTCTTCACCATCCATCTTGATGCTGCCAATTGGCCCAGTGGTGAGAATCTTTGTCTTCTTGACATTGAGGCTCAATCCATATTGGAGGCTACAGTCCTTGACCCTCTGCAGCAAGCGCTTCAGATCCTCCTCAGTTTCAGCAAGCAGGGTTGTGTCATCTGCATATCACAGATTGTTGCTAGATCTTCCACCAATCTTGACCCCACATTTCTCCTCATAGAGCCCAGCCTCCTGGATGATCTGTTCTGTATACAGGTTGAAAAGGTATGGAGACAGGACACATCCCTGGCGTACGCCCTTCCCAATTTTGAACCATGCGGTGTTTACTCGCTCTGGTCTGATGACTGCCTCTTGGCTCAAGTATAGGTTTCGCATTAGCAAGATTAAATGTTCTGGGATTCCCATTCTTCTCAGAGTCAGCCACAGTTTGTTATGATCAACACAGTCAAATGCCTTTGCATAATCAATGAAACACAGATAAGACATTTTTTCTGGTATTCTCTGCTTTCAGCTAATATCCATCTAACATCAGCTACAATACCCCTAGTAACACAACCCCTTCTAAACCCAGCCTGGACTTCTGGCAGTTCTCTGCTGATGTGCTGTTACAGTCGTTTTGGGATAATCTTCAGTAGACTCTTACTTGCATGTGAAATCAATGACATTCTTCTGTAGTTTCCACACTCAGTTGGGTCACCCTTCTTTGCAATGGGAACAAATATAGCAGCATCAGGATGGATGGTAAAGAGATTGAGATTGTTAACAACTTTAGTCTGCTTGGCTCCATGGCCAACACTCTTGGCACCAGTAGCCAGGAAATCAAAAAGCATATTGCGATGGGAAACTCTGCTGTTAGGGACCTCTCCAGGGTACTGAAGAGCAGTGGTGTCACTCTGGAGACTAAGGTGTGTCTGATACAGGCTATGGTCTTTGCAATCACTTGTTATG